TAATCGAATGATTTCGAATAGCGATTATGTGTTCGTTCGAGTTCGAACAACCCATTATGCTCATCGAACGATTTTCGAACAGGGGTGTTCATTTGTGTTCGATTCATTTGCAGCCCTACCTAAAACCGAAACCTAAAACACAGGTTCCAATTTCGGTTCTAGGTACCCAAGAAAATTCTATACCCCCTTAATATTCCAAAAAATGACAAATATACCCCTAAAAATTACAAATACAACCTATATTATGTTTACAAAAATTACAAATGTTTCAAGTACTGTTCCCAAAATTGAAATTACATATAATTTTAAATAACATAACATCAACATCTCATGCTTCATGCTCTAAATTCCTAATGTACATTCCTTCCTCAAATGGATTATGTTGTGTATTGAAGTGGTTATGAAAAAAAAAAAAAGAAAAAAAAAAGGCCTCGTTTGGTAAATTTTTTAGAATAGTATTTTTGGAAAATAGGATAGGATTCTGAGAAGTTTTTGGTATATTTCTGAATAGTATTTTCTGAAAATATTTAGATTTTTTTTAACCTCCTAGGTTTGTTAATTTAACTAAACACCCATCGCAATAAAAATTTATAAATTGATAAAAACGCCCCCACCCACCCACCCACCCACATATTGCTGGCAACTAGCCACCACCGCCGGAAGGTGGTTAGAATCTACCGGAGCCTTTTTCTGCTAGATCCAACGTTAATCTAGCCGTCTGGCCAGTGCCACTACCACCACCACTTTGTTGCGTGATTTTTGCCCCTTTTTGATTGCTCCCGGCGTTAGAAATCCCTCTCGCGACCACCAATCATCTCATTAGCTTCCCACCTCCAAAACCTCTATCCTCCCTAACACCAATTGCCAGCTAGTTGCCGCCCCCCACCATTCAATTTTTGCCCTTTTCTGATTGCTCTTGGCGTCAGAAATCCCTCTTGCGACCACCCATCATCTCACTAGCCTCCCACCTCCAAAACCCCTATCCTCCTTGACACCAATTGCCTGCTGGCTGCCACCCCCCACCATTTAGGGTTTCGCCATTTTAAAGACTTGGGGTTGAGATTTTGAGTTTTTGATGGCTTTTTGGATTGGATTTTGATTGTGGAAATAGTTTTGTTGCGTGTGTATCTATGTGATTGATTTTCATTCGCTGGTGCTCCGGTAGTGGCAATAGCGATGGTGGCTGTTGGCGGGTGACAATGGCTTGGGTGGGTGGGGGTGATTTTGTTAATTTTAAAATTTTTATTGAGAAAGGTAATTGTTAATGTTTTGGGTTGAATATAATAGGATTGAATTTTGAAGAGAATTGAGAATATTAAAACAAATGTGTATTCGGATAGGATTGAATAGGATAATAGGATATGATAGTGAAAAAATGGGGAAACAAATGGAGGGTTTAGATATTTTGTGGAATGAATAAAGATCCGGTTGTAGAAATGCCACAAGTATCACTTTCAAGAGGGATTCCAAAAAAATATTTGGTAGGAATAATTCAAAGAGAAATAAAGGATTTTTAGATAGATGTGAGAAATAAAAAAAAATAAACAACTTGGGTTAGTCCCAAGTCCCAACCACTCATCTTTCACCCACCTCTATTAGTTTCCTTATGAGAATAGTTGTTACTTTGATTCCACGTTATGTTGTTTCTTCCAATCCATTTGCCTTATGCTGCTACTTTCACCAGCATTTGGTGCGCTATGAGTCGGGTGACTGATGATGCCAAAATCAGGTCAGATTGGCTTGAGACGATAGTCATTGCAGGGTGTATTTGTACTTTCTAAAAACAGTTGGAGGTGTATTTGTATTTTCACAGGGTATATTTGTCATTTTTGTGAATAGTAGGGGGTATTAAGAATTTTCCCAAGTACTTGGAACCGAAACTGAAATTGAAACTTGTATTTCAGGTTTTGGTTCCAAACACTTAGGAATTGGAACCAACCGGTTCCGATTCCTATTCCAAATCCTAGGAACCGACTGATTCTAGTTCCGATTTTAAATCCCAAGAATCAGTCAGTTTCGGTTCCAATTCTCTAGGATTTGGGCGGGTACTCAGACTTGCCCACCCCTAAGCATTATTGTTTGAAACCAATAGAAGCTCATTGTTGTTCATTAAATTGTGCAAATTTCCTAAAATGCCCTTTAAAAATTATTTAAATTCTCTCTCTCTCTCTCTCTCTCTCTCTCTCTCTCTCTCTCTCTCTATATATATATATTGTTAATGCAAGATTTTGACATCAATTAAACGCACATAAAAAATGTTGAGCTAACTCAGAAGATATACGTGTACGGAGGTATTGAACTGAATAAAAGAAGAAGAACAGTGTTTAAAGTGGTTCAGATGCTTAAGAAAGCGAATCCTACGTCCACTGGTATCGTATTAATATATTTGAGATCAGGTCGCGTTCAGCGAGCTGACTTACAAGAGGTTACAAGAGAGAAAGAGAGTATATATGCTATTCCAGAGAGAAATTAGCTAATCCCACAAACGAGAGAAAATCTCTCTATTTATAATGGGATGAATTGAGGTAATGATTACTAAATCAGGGAGTGGGTCAGATTGTCGTGTAAATCCTTCCTTGCGTCCCGTTGTTCATCTGCTCGGTGATTTACTCAACGTTTGCAGGGATTGGACACGTGGATCTCCTCCAGCCTTTCACCAGCCTGGCGCACACCCACTGCACTGGCAAGAACATGCCGCTTGCGTCAATGTGCGACGTGGCTGCGTCTGAATGACTGTAGGACTTACCTAAGCTTTGACTGCTTACACTGACAGGGTTCTGCGTCAGCCCTACTTTTCCAGGCATAACAGAAGTCCCATAGTTTTTAAGGTTTGAGAATCGAACCTTGGAAACTACATATTATGCCTTGATTTGATGCGTTTGAAGAGATAGTGGTCGATCCGACCTAACTGCAAAGAGGTCGAAGAAACATTTCCATATAGGCAACCTGAAATGGCTTACTCTTAGGGTCAACGGCCTATTCTTAGACCATGTTTAGTGCTATAACAATGACTGGTTTTCGACCTAGGTCTGCGACCTTATTGCACTTAGTGGAATTTTTTGCTGAAGACGAGGAATCGCGTCACTTTGCAACTGACATAAGACAAGATAGAAGAGTCACGTCGCTTCGCGACTGACATAAGACGAAGAGTGTTCTATATAATAACCTTTTTAGATGTTATCCGTTGCACTTTTGTAGCTTATACATTTAATGAAATATCTTTTGCTCTGACAGATGTGTCATGTGTGCAATAAGTGCTAGCCATGCGCATTAAATGCGAGTCATGCTGAAACGACATTCCTTATCAGAGCATTAAATGCGGATGTGTCATGTGTGCAATAAGTGCTAGCTATGTGCATTTAATGTGGAGGAGGGAAACGTGCCATCGCTTGAGTGTTTTAACGGAAGAGAACAACGATTTGGTTTCTCAAAGCGTGATGGTCACTCTTCTTCATTGATTTGCGACATGTGGTCGCGATCAACGGTCAGATGCGTTTTCTGCCCAAACGTCGTTTGACTTCGGAAAACCAAAGCGCCACTTCCTTCACTATAAAACCCCAAGCTCACTTCAGGTAATGCCACAATACTCACCTTCTCAGAGAGAGCAAAAATTTTTGTGAGCCTTGGTTCTTAGTCTGTCAGATTGGTGCGCGTTTGATATTCGAAGCAGAAGGATTCATCTTCTCATTCCAAGAGGTAAGGATGGTTTTTCTGCCACTTTTATTATTATTTCTTGTTTTCGATAGTCGCCGTGGGATGATAGTCTGTCGGTAGTTGATCGGAGATGAAATATTCTCCTTGGGTTTGAGCCATTTGATGGTGGCTCTAAAAGTATTATGTTAGGGTTTTTCTAGGGCTTAAAGGAGGAAGCTTTTTACTTTCTCCTCCACGTCATCGTACGAAACAGTGTATGAGGACTGAATGATTCCCTACATGTCGCTTTTTTTAGACCGCAGTAGAATGGACTCCCCACGACTAGAATTGAGGAGGGGACCAGCTCACCTATACAGAATGCTCCAGCAGGTCCCCCTCAAGAGATCTTATCGATGATTACTGCCGAGGACATTCAAAAGGTGGTAGACCAATACGCTCTCAACGTGGAGGTCTTCCAAGATAGGATACATATAGCTCAGAGTCCGCCATAAGGGATGGTTGCGATCTCCGAGAAAATTTTCAAGAGTGGAGGGTTGATCCCTTTCCACCCTTTTGTTAGGTCGGTGCTCGATCATTTCGGGATCGCACCGCTACAGCTAACGCCGAACACATATATGATAGTAGTGACTATGTATATCGCCTGCAACGAAAACGGATTGGGCGAGCTAACCGTGCTAGAGCTCGATTGCTCGTACATACTGAAGAAGAGTAAGGACAAGGACTCCTTCTACCTCTCTAAGTGCTCTACGATAGAAGCGGGAAAACATAGTTACCCCAGCAATGTAGGGGCATACGAGACGAAGTTGTTTTTCTTTCAATACGATGGCATTTGCCATTTTCTGGAGCCGAGTAGGTTCTCCTTTCTTTTGATGTCGCGAATTTCCCTTTTAGTCTTCGCCAATGAGCTCTTTGTTTCTTCACAATTAACAAAACGACTAGGTTATCGCTACTCAAGGATCCAGACAGAGTCACTACCTTCAGTTTTTTACCCGAAGAGAGTCGCGACGCAAGGCTGCTCATGACAACCGCATATTTACGGAAGTACGGTTTCTTCAACCCTGAAGCAACCTTAGAGACCACATCGAGTAAGCTTTTTAACCTAAGCCTGCTTTTTGATTATTCATGCAGTGAACTGTTTTGCTAACGATGTTCGCATGCAGCGACCATGCCTCCCAAGGTGCTCAGATCGCCACGACCGAGGCAGTTTACCTTCCCCCAAGTAAGCGCCACCGGACCAGCTGGAGCAGCTCCCAACGATCCCTCCGTCAGAGGGACACCGACGGGTGCTCTAGTATGACCTGCTAGGGTTCCCCAACCTTCGACTGTTCACCCCAAAGCACAAGACCATGGCCCAAAAGTCCAAGAAGCAAAAGCAACTTCGGACCGAAGAGTCAGAGTCCGAACCGGAGGGCTTGGGTGTTCAGCCCAAGAAGTCGCAGCCATACCAAGCGTTCTGCTTGGGAGGGCCTTCCAAGGGTGCGACTGGCATCTCCATTGCTCCGGGGGAGCCACGAACAAGGCAAAGAAAGGCCACAGACCCTGGGAGAAGACCGGGCAAGGAATCAGCAAGCGATACGACTCTTGCTGGAGGTGTGGGCACAAACACACCTATGTTTTTACCCTGCTGGAGTGCGGGCTCACGGAGGCTTTTGAGAAGTTTGTAACTTCCAACCCTGTAGACCTGATGTCCATATCCCTTCAGCACCTGAGCCAGGTAGAATGAGCTGTCCTCAGCGAGGACTTTACATTTATTCTTTTCAGTAGCAAGGAAACTAACTTNCTCCAAATGATAATTTCTTTGATGGCAGGATGGGATTGAGGAATGTCGAAAATTATGTGGTGGCCATGGATACTTGTGTAGCAGTGGACTTCCAGAACTATTTGCAGTATATGTCCCTGCTTGTACATATGAAGGAGACAACACTGTGCTACTTTTACAGGTATTTTGAAAAATAAAATAATCTGATTTCAGCAACTTTTATTTGCAGTTTATTGCATTCATTCTTCTTGGTTCTTATTGTACTTGGGTTCTGTATATGTACAAAGTTTTTGAACTCATGAAGGAGGTTTTTAAAATGTCCAAACTTACCCTGTTTAATTTGGGTTCACTTTTAAGATTATATGTTTATACAGTTTTCTGTTGGAGCACCCTGTTGTCAATGTGTTTGCAGTTTATAAAGGACCAAAATTTGTATGCACTTCTTTTCTTGCTGATTTTGGGTTGGCCCTCTTACATACCTGACCCCAAGTGATGGTTTGGACTGTGAATGACATTCTATAGAAAATTCTTTTTCTAGGTTGCAAGGTTTCTCATGAAAACCGTCTCTCAACTGGGGTCTGGAAAGAAGCCAGTTGGGACAATATCTTACATGGAACAAGTGGAACATCTGATGAAGTGTCATTGTGAGGTTCAAATAGGTAATACTTTTATCTTTTACTGTTGATAGCAATATTGTTTCATATTTAACAGACTTTGTAGATCACTCCTGTCACAATAGAACACTTGCTGACTTGCTGGTTCTTCTAAATGTGCTCATGTATATTCATAATTTTTTTTCAATGTCTTGCAGCTGAAGATTGGTTAAAGCCTGCTGTAATACTGGAGGCTTTTGAAGCAAGGGCCACTAGGATGTCTGTTGCCTGTGCTCAAAACCTGAGCAAGTTCACAAATACAGAAGAGGGTATGTTTTCTTTCCCTTTATTCATAAATTTGGTATGTATCTCACATATATCCATTGTCTTCTAAACTTTCTGTTTGACCAAATTTGTAAACTAGACGCTTGCATGGACTGCTATTTAGAGGCCTTGAACCTTAATTTTTTCCTTAATTGACATGTCTCTTGCTAACATGATTGAATTTATATGAGATACAGAAGGGAGCTTTTCATTTTCATGGTATTGTAAACATCTTAAATCCTGACAGGCCTGGGAATTTGGCTTCTTTATGACCTTTTAAGTTGAGCTCAAAACATAGATGTGTTTCACTTATTCTTCCTTTCTCTTCAGGCTTTTCAGAACTCTCAGCTGATTTAGCTGAGGCAGCGGTTGCTCATTGCCACTTAATTGTTGTTTCAAAGTAAGTTCCTCCCTCTTGATCCAATCAATGGTCTCAAATTTAAAAGTTGATGGGCCTTATTTCTGTACATGAATGACATCTGCTGGTAAAGGGATCTGTTGATGAATTGACACTGAAGGAGTCAAACCCAAACATCAAATTTATGCTAAATTTCTTAGAAATTTTAAAGTGAATTGGAAACAGAAAAAGATTCTGTTGTATGCTGAGAATCCAAAAATTAAGTTAAATTCTGGGTCAAATTTTTTTCGACGCATTTGTATATCCTCTGAATTTGTTAAGGTTTTTTGAGAAACTTATTTCTATTTCAGGTTCATTGAGAAATTGCGACAAGACATACCTGGAAAGGGGGTGAAACAAGTGTTAGGAATGCTCTGCAACATTTATGCTTTGCATATTCTTCACAAAAATCTGGGTGATTTTGTATCCACTGGCTGCATAACTCCCAAGCAAGCTTCACTTGCTAATGAGCAGCTAAGATCTTTGTATTCCCAGGTATGGGCTTCTAACAAATAATTTACCTAACTTGCCCTCTTGCTGAATGATTAATTTTACATCCATCTAATTACAATTTTGAATTCGTGGATTGTTAGGTCCGTCCTAATGCGGTTGCCCTTGTTGATTCATTCAATTATACTGACCATTTTCTGGGATCGGTCCTAGGCCGGTATGATGGAAACGTGTATCCAAACCTCTACGAGGAAGCTTGGAAGGACCCTCTAAATGACTCAGTTGTACCTGATGGCTACCATGAATATATTCGTCCCATTCTGAAACAACAGCTCCGAACTGCAAGACTCTGAGGACATAAGCACTGGAACAACGGCTCCTATTACAAATTAAAATAGTATAATCAGTATCATAAAATAGTTAACTTAAAGCCAATAAAATTACCTAGATTGTGATCAGAAGAATGGGCTCTGGTCCCTATATTGAATGCCTTAAATGGAAAATATTGGTGAATAAGTGGTACTTAAATTATGGCAGAGAAAATTTAAATGTGTGGAAGGATAAAATAATTGCTCTTATTACAGATTAACGGCCTTTTAAATTGATGTTTGCATTTTAGCCATTATCAGTGTGTACTATATCTATTATAAATTGATGTAGAATTTACTTCCTAATGAACATGGGACTAACCTCTATGGTTCAATCTCACTTTCATGAGTTCTGTAAGCTTTATAAACAACAAAGTATAAATTGATTAAATTCCATGGATTGTTTCGTATGCTTGCCGCGATTGTTTTATCATAAGAATGTCAAAAAATGTTTGATTCTCTTCATTCTCGTTCTAGAAAATAAAGCGTACAAAAACTTATATCACTAACTCTTGTCAAATCCATAAATTTATTCCAACTGCAATCTATTCTCATTCCCGGCATATAGACACATAAAAAGATGAACATTACTCCATGATTTTTTGGGTCTAACAAAGGGTGATGTATATATAACTATTCCAAGAAATTTTTTATTTAGGGATACGAGGAAATTAATTAAAGATCTCAATCCAGGGTCAACAAATACTTTTAATCAAATAAATGCATTTTTCTTTCCCAAAGAGGCACGAATACTATGCCCAAAGCGTCAATTTATTTTTACTCTCATGTTTCTTCTTATGCGACTCTTCGTTTGCTATGTACACACAAATTAAATACCTTAATTTATTCTGAGACAGCTTGTTAATTCATGAACTGATGCTCTTCACACAGTTCAACAATGGCTAGAGTTGGAGCCCTTGTTGATCTTTTACTCTTCTACACACTTGAGAGATCACTCTTCAACAGAATGGTTCGCATTATCGGCAAAACTTCGCTAGAAGTTAAAAGAACAATAGCACTTTGGCTTGTACTAGAGGAGATTGGTTATCATGACTTAATTCGAACGATATATTCCTACGACAACAAAACCATTGAAGCGCTCTCCAACGAAGCATTGCAATGCCTGGAATGCATGAAACCTGATGCTCTTGAACCAACTGTATTACACGATAATCCTGTTTTTCAAGGCCTCTTGGATGAACCTATGAATTTCAGATTCTTTTACTACAACCGGGAGTTCATATACAAGCGCTACATGCACATAATGGAGACTGTTTGTAACAAAATATTTGGTGACACAGCCGCTATAGAAGTCGACGAGTCCGGTTTGAGACCTGTGGTTAGACCCTTTATCGAGAGTTCCAGTGCTGCAGCCATTAATGTAACTCCAAGAGAATCAAATTTGAATGCTGAAGCTTCAAAGTTTCATCCTACACAATCTCCGGAAGATGCCAAGACAATGTTTCTAACATTTTCCAAAGGCCACCCTCTAACACGTGAAGAAATTGTAAACTTCTTTACCTCGTAAGTAATTAAATAAGCTTTTTCATAATTTAAGTAGTTAAATTGGTAATTAAATCAATGGTTTAATTTATTGTTGTGCAGGAAGTGGGGTGAAGTAGTGGAAGATGTTATCATTGAACAGAGTCGTCTGGGATAGGATCCACAGTTTGGACGTATAATATTTACAACATCAACAGTGATACCTAGGGTTCTAAATGGTCAATCCAAAGCTAAGTTTTTGGTTAATCGTAAGCATTTGTGGGCTCGTATTTATGTGCATCGTCATGGAGGCAGGGCAGGAGGACTACTTAGTCGTGCAAAACAAGTTTAAAATAGTTAAGAGCGTGAGACACCGTATACACAGTAAAACCTCATTACTGTCATAATGATGGGACTAATTATTTTAGTACCATGAGAAGATTATAACTCAATAGAGGTGTAATTAAAAAAATTTCTTATTTCATAATTTATATTTTAGTAGTACAATATTATGATTTTAATTAATGTTTTAATAATATTAGGGTTTTAATTGCCTACTTTTGAAATAGATAGAAGATCGTGTTTTGAAACCAACAAAGATATCTGTCCTTGATAAAATTGTAAATGCAATTGCTGCATGGCAACTGATGTAAAGCCACAGACAATTGCCAATTGTTTTAAGCATTACAAAATTAGGACCCCGATGTCGATGTATTGCAAGTTACAAATGAAGTGGATGAGGAGAATCAAATAGTCATTGTAGAATTGAGTGATCAAATTCGACAACTTTACTACACTAATCAAATGAATATTAATGTATTCCTTAATCATCTAAATGAATAACAAGTCATGTATGCTTTAACAAAAGAAGGAATCATTTCTACGATTAAACAAGAAGAGAAATGAAATAATTATGAGGATGATAGTATGAAAATATAAAAAGTTTCATGTCAAGAAGCTCTAAAAATGCTTGAGAAGCTAGAAATGTTTTGACTTTAACAAGAAAATGTTCATGCTAACGAGTGATGTACCTGCAAGTTAAGAGATGTAATAACAACTCTAAAGCATAAATTATTGTGCCAAACAACTTCAGATAAATATTTTATTTCATTTAAACCTTTAATGTAACAAACCATATTTTTTTTTTTTTTTTGTAATATACAGATAATTATTACTATATGGAGACAATTTTCCTTAAGATGTGAATTAGAAAAATTATAACTTATTATAATGTGAAGTTTATTCTTATTTATAACTATCCTAAATTGGGAATATAATTTTTTATGACTATATAGAGTTTATTCCTATATAGAGTATCACTATAAAGAGGTTTTACTAACTCTAGTAACTGCCCACTAAATTAATTATACGGTGATTTTTAAAGCCTGAATTAGTTATTGATTGACAACTAATTAGTCTCACAATTTGTAAGTTGTTGTTTTGTGGAAGTAATGGATTAGAGTGGGCTGTGGAATTACAATTAAATATGGAATAGTTTGTGGGCTCCTATTTATGCGCATGACTTGATGAACACCGAGAATTGAATAATAAGGAAGTGATATATGAATATGATAGTATTGTATCTGCCAAACCAATTGACTTCTGTAACAAATTTACTTGTAAATATATACAACAATCAGAAGATATGGTATGATTCATAACCTTAAGTTTCAACAAATTTTTATCTGATATTTCCTAGACTTTCTTTTAAAGGATTGACACGTGTTTTACTGAACCCCAGCACAACCTCACTTTTCAACAGATATTTCAGATGTACTCTAGATATTTGTTTACAGGATTGACATAACTGTAAAGTTGTTTTGTCGGCACGTGAATTTGGCAGGACTTGAGACTGACCAGACAAGATGTGATTTTATCACTAGAGATGGGTGTTTAACTCTTAGCTGACTTTTGGGACATCTTGAGGTTTATTGTTTCTTTGGGCTTCGACAAAATCTGTCTGCTCCGTAGCTTCAGGTAAATACGACAAAATATACACATTTAAGAGCGCTTACTTGAAAATAAACCACCATTTTATACAAATACTATCTGATGATATATAATATTGTTTAAGGCAATAGAGTATATTGTAAATTGGATGAATCCATAGTTGCTTCGATTATGATTGAATTTGGAGCGGCCATGACAGGAAGATAAATTTGAAATTGAATATCTTACACATTTACAGTTGAAGCTTCTCTGATAAATATACATGCCAATCCAAAGGAACATTTTGGTGCAATTCACCTTTATGGTTTTATCTGAGATTATTGAGGGTGAATTTGTAATAAAAACAAAACATTTTGTTGATGGGATTATAGACTAATCAATCTTTTATAATAAAACAAATCACTTTGTTGGTGGGATTATGGACTAATCAATCTTTCATGTATGGAATATGAATATACAAATAATAACAATGAGTTAATAATTATGTGGTCAAGAATGTGTAAACCATCCCTGTCTTTTGAGTCAATTTTAGACGATCAAATTTTCCAAATACGTTAATTTTCTTTTGAAAGCAAAACAAAAACATCCAAAGTGTGCATGAACACTTTTTTTTTAAAAAAAAATAAAAGAATATGATTCACAAGCTGCAGTACTTTATTAAAAGAAACAAAAAAGAAAAAAAAAAAGGGACGTTCTTTTGGTTGAGAGTTGGACTATGACTTAATGCAAAAATATACTAAATGGTGGTTGATAATTTAATTAAATGAAGCAATTCGATTTTTCTTTTTTAATAAAAAGAGTGGTTTTTGAATAAGAGCAGAGCATGTGTGGAATTGGGAGGGAATAATGCAAATTATATTAATAGGGTAGGTGATTAAAGTACAAAAGAAATCAATTATAATTTGAATAAGTTGTCTTATTGTTTGGACAAATTGAGCAAATTATTAAAAACTCTATCCCCATTACATACATGTTTGTCCCTGAAAAAACACAAAACAAAAAGAATATTTAATATATACCGGTATGGTGAATATGTGGTCTATATCGAAGTGTACCGATCTTTTAAAAGCAATGCTGTAAAACTTAAATTCGATAATAAAAAGAAAATAGTGAATGTTTTGGAAGCATTTGGGATTGAAATAATAATAGCATTTGAATATGTTGTCATTTAACTACGATTAACGCTGTTTAAACACGCAATAAAAATATGCTTTGACCATATCATTTGTCGTGATGCTAAATAAAGTAGCCCTATAATATTCCAGCCCTTGAATTCTCAATTAATGGACGATCGGAAGAGCTAGATCCAACGCACCCCAATTCCTGTACCAACCTATAAAAATTTGCAAGTTGTCATATCACTGGCCACATGAGGAAATTTGAAATTGGTTTAATCATTAATAATATTATATATAAAAGAAGAGGCCAAGAATGAAGAAAGAAAAACAACAAGACTACTGTGCAGGATATTTTTCCAATCCATGTATTGTTTCAAAATCCACAACAACAATAACGACAAAAATAATAATAGTATAAGTTAAAATTCCCCCATTTGTATCCAGCTAGGCCCACCTTCTTTATTTAATAAATTTATTTAATTAAACGTTTTTCAGTGTGTGATAAAAGGATCATTTTGTGATCGTTTTAACAACAACATTTTCACAAAAACAGAGCAAACCTCAATGGAAGCTGCAATCAAGGTTGAATGTGAAGCTCAACCCTCAAGCTCTTCTCATTCTCATTCACCTTCTTCCAGAGCTAATGAAAGCAAAAGAAAGGTGGTTAATGATGAGAAGCATCTAACTTATAGAGGAGTAAGAATGCGTCAATGGGGGAAATGGGTTTCGGAAATAAGAGAGCCCAGGAAGAAATCGAGAATTTGGTTAGGGACTTATGCAACTCCTGAAATGGCTGCTCGAGCTCATGATGTTGCCGCTCTTGCAATTAAAGGCCACTCGGCTCACCTAAATTTCCCGGA